AAAAAAAAAAAAAAAACCAAACAAAGACAAAAACAAAAAAGGGAGAGGCTGGCTTTAGTGACGGAACAAACAAGTGGAAAAGGTTTACAAAAAACTTCATAAATTCAATTAATTTATGGTATATACAAAACAAACAAACTATTAACAACAAGTGCCGTATTCTGAGCTGTGGTTTTTCCCATGTATGCTATGAAACTCATTTGCTTCATGCCTTCCAGTCAAAGAGGCAAAACCATGCGGCATTAAAACAAACTGTGACGTCAAAAACCATATGGTCGTGTGTGCAGACTTGGCCTCACGCTTGCTCCCTTCCCTCCCTCTCTTCCTGCACTTCCCCTCGTCTCTGGTGGGTTATTTTAAACCCCAACAGACTCCGAAGCCACAGACCACATCACACAGTGGCGCGGCTGGAGCCTCCTGGGGCCTGCGGAGGCCTCGAAGCCTGGTCTTCTATTAGTAATGGAGCCAGAGGTGGGTGGTCGTGCCGGGGCCGAGGCAGGGCTGGGGTTTGGGTGGGGACTGGAATGGAGATCGACTGGGACAAGCCCTCTGCCTCCCTCCTCCCCCTTCTCCCATTTCCATAACCAAGCCCCATTCTGCTGCAGTCCTGAAAATGTACACACTGTTGTGTGCACATGCATGTGTGTGCTGACACAATACCCCTGGTGTTACTGTGTAAAGAGCTCATTTTGGTCTGGCCCAGGGCAGCTCAGCCTCTGTTTGCACCACAAAATGAAAGGATAATAAATACTGAGACAGAGTCCAATGTGTTTTTTTCCAATGTGAGGATGTGTCTATGTATACGTGTGGAGACTGCGGCGATGCAGTGAATTAAAAGGAACAGTGAGCATGAAATAAAATCTCTCAGCTGCCTCACCCTCCAGCAGAAAGACGGCCTGTTTACGGAAGATTTTGACCAGGGTTTCGTCCAGTTCCACTTCTTGCAGCTTGGCCAATAGCTGCTCTTCGTTGCGACAGACCTTTTCTTGCGCATACAGTCCGTCGGGCATCACCCGCTGCTGGCCCAAGCCAATCAGAGCCGTCTCCACTGCGAGAGCCACGTACGATTCACCGTCTCCCAGCAATCGCTGCACGGGCATACGCTGGAGTTCTGCTCGGCTTACAACACTGGAGCAGTCTGCAGAGAAGAGGGAGAAGATGATCCAACAACGATACGAAATAAAGATCAATGCCTCAGGAGCATCGCTCTGTTCACTGCTCTGCCTCCTGTGCTATTTCTGTGAGACGAGGAGGCACTGAGGGACAGAGTGGTAGCTATATACCCATGTTACAACATAGGAAACGTCATATATATATAAAAACAAATCATACAGTATATGGTAAATATATATAATGCGTGAAATTGCTGTATTCAGGATTCTTGTTACACTGCAGTACCTGAGAGGTCTAAGCAGGTGTTGGAGCCCTCCTCTCCTGCTCGTCCCGACTCCGTCAGGGTGCTGAACAGGGTACCGATGGGATCCAGGGGGTGTCCCACCCAGCCCTCCATGTTTGTTATGGAGGTGTGGCCTTTATGGAGGATCTCTGAGGAAAGAGAGGCCAGATACACACATGGTTAAAAGACAGTGCTGACAACACTCGTGTATTTTTTAAATGAAAATTTTTAAATAATTCAATGGCCTTTACCAATCAATACAGATTGAAAAATAATAGAAAATGACTCATATTAAAAAAGTTCAAATGAAGCTCTTACATGAAAAGAATGATGACAATGGATGAAAAATAAAATGAATTTTTTTACAGCCACACAAAAATGTTTCCCTTTGCTACTGACAACTTCACCTTCTCTTTTTTCTCTCAGCTTTTCCTGTTTCTGTGATGAAATAAAGTAATAATATACAAGTTTTGTATTTATAATAAGTGAACTTGTGAGGATGATTTGCTTATGCTTGTTTTTTATATTCTGAAACCAAAAGGGAACCTATAATAACATGAATTAAATTAACCTTTCTTGTGCCGACGGAAGTGCTCCAGCTGCCTCTGCTGTTGCCGTCGTAATGTGTTCACCACGGCGATGGCCAATCGGAGGGCTTCTCTTGGGTAACCATGTGAACGCAGAGCATCCACTCTGGCACAGGCCGTTGGGACATGTTCTGAGGAAAACGCAAAAGGTTAAACCCCAACATTCTCTCACTGGGTACATTCTCCTTCCACCTGACGCTTATATACACACAGACTCACCGTGCCACAGGGGCCAGCCACGAGAGTCAAAGAGGGAACCCTCCTGGTTGTCATGGTAACAGTAGTTGGCATAGAGGTCACTGGCGATAATGTGCTGGAGGTGTCGGTCCTGCCAGTGCAGGTCACAGGCTTCGATGGCCCGTGTGAACACCGTCCTGTGGGGCCGCATCTCTGCAGCAGAAGAAGAAGGAGGCGTGAGGATGATTAAATGCCCGATCAGGTGAGAAAAGGGCTGATAGGACCCACATACATGGTCATTTGACAGTTTGTTTAGTTATATCAAATTCATTTTTGAGCATTTGCATAATTACTGTAAATAGACAAAACCATCAACCTACAAGATTGGCAGCCTGAACACGCTTCTGAACCACAGAAAATGTGACAGGATGATTAAACTGAATTAAAGCTTTCAGGGTAAAAGTGCTCCATTGAAAAACAAAAAACAACCTGTTGATGGTCTTGAGTAAATCAGAACAAAACAGATTATTGACTTCAAGTGTTATTTTTCTACACACAAAAGGTGGAGACTTCACTGCTGATGCTTTCGGAACCTACATGTTGAACCTCTCACCTTCACAGTTGCGAAGGAGACACGTTATTAGAAAGTAAACATGTTATTGACAGACATACAAAACTTGTCAATCTCTGACCTTGGTTGCCATGGGCACCCTGAGGGAGTGAGTGGGTGAGGTTGGGCAGCTCGTTGCCATGGTTACCGTCCTCCCAGGGGCAGACGTCCACGCTGTTCCATCTGCGCAGCTGGCGCAGCCACGATGACTTCTGCTCCGGTTTACAGTGGGGGTTCAGTACGATGCACATCCACAGGGCACCTGGACATAAACATATACACACACACATCAGTTACCTGCCCTGCTTTCTGATGTGCGACAATGATGTAAGCAATGAGTCATGCAATGCGTGAGGGTGTGTTTTTTCAAGGAGATTTAAAACATCCTAAAATACAGTTATCATGCAAGATTGAAAGCTGGAGGCAGTTTTCAAAGATGTGCAACATCATAACATTGGTTCTTTTTTTCCCTTTAGAGCACATTTTCTTTGCTGCCGCCATCTTGCACTGGAATACAAAACTCTTTGAAAAAAGAGAACTTAACTAGTCCCGAGGCAGCGCTGACTGCACACACATCATTTTGGAGTAAATTGGAACAAACAGAATATGAAAAGTGGCTAGGTCTCTGCGGAGGAGAGCACATTCAGGGATTTTACTCTCAAGACTGCTGGAGATATGTACACTCCACTGCAAGGGTGTGTGTGCGTGTTTGTGTGTGCGAGAGAGAGATTGTGTTCTGCATGTGTGTGAAGGTACCGAGTTTTGGGAGGAAGGACGAAGACAAGGACAGAGACGGTAGATGGAGAGAGAAAAGGAACACAAAAGGTGGAGAGAAAAAAGGAGAAGCAGAAAATGAAATGGGAGTGGAGATGATTTGGACAAGGAGACATGGGTGAGGAGAAGTGAATGAGGCATGGCTTTGTGTCTGGAGGAGATGAGTAGAGCTGCGGCTCAAAGAGGAGAAAGACAAAAGAGGGGCAGAGAAAGAGAGCGAGTGAGCGAGCGGCGCCGAGAGGCAGCATTCACCACACATCAGGGGGAGTGATAAGGACTTGGGAAGAAGGGTTTGAAGTGTGGACTTCAAAGAGACCGTGCACACACTTCCAAAAATACGTGGGACTGAAACAGATGAGATCACGGCGCTGTCCTCACAATGTGCAGAACAACACCAAAGGGAGAAAACGAACATCATCATCAACAACAACAACAGCAGCAGCAGCAGCAGCAGCAGCAGTCAGGGGCGGCTACAGCAGCAATATCAACCAGGACATTAGAGTGAAACAACAAAGACAGGAGGCAACATGACTGGTGTCCTGGTGACGGGCTTGTTGGTTTTTGTGAGGAAGTATTTTGCTGTAGGTACAGTACGTCTGTCAAAGGAACTACACACACAATATCAAAATCAAACGGCTGCGGTGGCGAGCAGGACTCTGTCACATCAACTAAATATATCATTTTAGGTGTTTGAAAACATTACGGAGGTCATAATATTTGGGGTTTTGATGAAGCTTGATGTGCAGCGTTAAACGGCTTCTAATTCACAAAGACTCTCTGCTGAGCTGCCAAACGTACATTCACAGAGAAAGGAAGTAACTGGGCTGTCAGTGATGAGTGTGTGTGTGTGTGTGGGGGGGGCTTCTATGGAAACAAAGGACAAAAAAACAGGAGTGAAAAAATATGTGTGTTCCTTTGTGTCAGCGTCTGGGCTTCATCGCACACCTTGCTAAATCTATCCATGCATGTTCACATTTGTAGGACAATCGATGTATGTGTGTGTGTGTGTGTGTGTGTCTGTGTGTGTGTGTGTGTCTCCCCACTCACCAAGCTCATCCCAGAGCTGTCTGTACTTGTCGGTCATGGTGGTGCCCTGCTGTCTCCACAGCGCCAGCCGAGGGTCGGCCATGAACTGTTCTGTGATCAGTGTTAACATCCTCGCTCCATTGGAGTCACGCATCTTCAGCATCTCCCTCACCTACAGGAGGACAGAGACGAGGGGACAGGGAAGTTTTATTTAACTGAACCGAAAGGAAAAAAAATGCCATACACATCTCACACAGCATGCAACATGCTTTTAAAAAAGAACAGGCTGATATCCTCTTACTAAGGTTTTATCCAGCTCACAGCTTCTGGATGTAACATGCAGGTCAGAGGTCATTTGTTATGTAGGGGTGGTTAACATTTAACTTCTATATTTGAAAGTTTAAGTGATGAAACTGGGTATACTGACAGTGTGTAACTGTGACTCCAAACTAAATTCCCCCATAATTGCTTTCCCCCCTCAGTTCCAGTCCTTTCTGTACCCGTCCTTGCTTTTTGTTTTTTCTTTTGTTCACCATTCAATCTAGTATCAGGTCCTCTGAAAGGTTTTCCCGTTTCACAAGATCATTCACTTACATGCAATTAGAGCTGCATTGTAACTGAAGGCTAAATATTTTTGTATTTAATTTCCCATTTACTCGTCACTTTCTAGTTAAAATCCAGAAATTTGATATTTAACAAAAGAGAGAAAATGCACTTATTAATTATGAATAGAAAAATCTGTCTGAAAAAACAGACCGTTTAAAAAATCATTTTCTGTCCTGTGCTTATCGCAAGGGGAACTCGTAAACATCTGTGGTCAGCATCTCTTCTTGCAGCAGGAAACACAACCACTCTTTGGTGCGTGTGGGGACATAAACTCCAGATTAACACTGGTTTGAACCGATTCTGTAAACTTTTTATATTTTCTGGTGAAAAACCAAAAAGTTGTGATTCCTAAAAGTGCGACACACACTTTTAAACATGTGCACACATAACGGTGTGTGTTTTCAGCCTCTCTGGTAACAGGACTGACAACATGTATTCACACACATGCAGGACACACACACAGGAAGACGTACTCTGTGTACAAATGCATATATCTCAGCGTGTTTTGCATCGTGGGTGTTTGAGTGTGAGAGTGCATGTGCAAGTGAATATGTGGCTGCCTGTCTGTGTGTGTGTGTGTGTGTGTGTGTGTGTATGTGTGTGTGTGTGTGTGTGTTGAAAAGGATATAACAGGCATCAAAGAGCTTGAAGCAGAGAGACATTCTAAAAGCTGGGCAGAGTGGATGATAATGGACTTGGCTCACAGTCTTTACATAGCATACAGTACATTAATGCTGGCCCTGCTCTGCCACTGTAATACCAGGCTACAGAGAGCACCACACACCTCCCATGTAATCATTTCATCGTGGGCAGAGATGAGGTATATTGTGCAAGCTTTCCTTTCTTTCTATACCTCTCTGTCTCTCTTTATCTTAGAGCTTAGAGACAGCATTTTTTTAATTCACGTGCCAATATGTGAAGTTGCTTTGTCTGGGATTGCTTTGAACAGAGTAGGCCTCTCCTCATAAGGGAATAGAATGTGTAGCCTAATACAGGACGTGAGATTTCTTTTTTTTTTCAAGCACAGATACTATTATTTGCGTGTTCTTGCAGAGAGGCGAGCAAACCTAAAGGGAGAGAGGCAGACCCAGGCAGAGAGCTCGCGGCTGTGGCAATCAGGGCCGGTATGTTTTGTATGCGCGTTGTTATGTTCTATATGTGCATGAATGAATGTGGCTGGCTCTCGACCTTGCTGAAGAGCAGGTTGAGCTGCTTGCCGGAGCCGTGGTATCCTCCCTGGGAAAGGAAAAGCTTGACTTGCTCCTGAACCTGCTCCTCGTCCAGGTGCCAGCAGTTCTCGTCGTCCACACTGGCTCCCGCTGTGGGGTCCGGGGCCCCTGCACACATACAGACACATAACGATGTGTTACATCACCCCACTGTGTTACCTTACTGTTACTGATATAGAATAATATATTATTGTAAGATAATGTTTAACAGCAACTTATTGATCCTGCAATTGATTTCTATTCCATCTCTGAAAGGGTCACTTTCAAATACAGACAATAGCTGAGCTTTAACTCTCACTTTACTCTAAGTAAACACAATTTAAACCTTATTCTAACCTTAACATAAAAAGACCATTACCTCTTAAAAAGCTGCATGCAAAGAAAGAGACTCGTCTTGGACAATTTAACTACATTTCTATACCTCTGGGGACATTCATGCATGTTCTCAAAAGATTATAGATATAAGAACAATTAAAGTATCAATTTTGTGAGACGACAACATGGTAACATTTACAAACTGCACGGTCACACAAACACGATGTAGCAGTGGCGAACCTTCGCCTCCTGTTCACTTCTGCACTGTTCGAGCGAGGGGGCGAACAGAACATTTGTTTCCTGAGGCGAAGCTGCAGCGTAGCATTGCATGGAGTTCAGTCATGTTGAACTTTGACCTGCAACATTTGCATATGCATGACCGGCCCCTAACACTTACTACAGACACATGACCCTGAGAATTCTATCATTTACTTTTATGAACCTAACAAATAGTTTAAGTCTTATATTTTTAAGCATCATTTACAAAGCAAGTAGGAAATATTTTAGAAACAAGCAGGAAAGCTTCCTACTCATTTGATCATGACGCTGGAATAAATCTCAATTTAAAATGAATTTACATAATTTCATGTAGTTTAGCTTTTTTCATTTGTACTTATTATATTATTATATATTATATTTTGAAGCAAAAAGCAGCACAGAGCAGAACTAAACAAATAATCCATTGTTAATTCATATTAACAGCGCAGCGTTAAACTGAATGTTGGTGTACTGACACAATGCATTTGAATTTGAAATAATTTTCTTATCACTGAATAATGTACTTCCTTTATTCCTCAAAATGAGCACAAATAGATCAACTAAAACTAGTTCGGACAAAAGTATAAATACTTAAGGTGTGTGTGCACAACTGAACTGACCAGAGGAATAACTCAGATGCTGAAATATTTCAGTTTGCATTACTCAGGTTATTGCTAAAAGGGTGATGATCAATATCATGTAAAAAAACAACCACAAAACCTATCTATCTCTTTTTCTCCCTCATGAATTGCTTATTTATTTCTGTTCTTAGAAGCCTCTATCTCTCTGTCTTTCTCTTTGATTCCTCATCGTACGACTTCATTTCTCATGAACAAACACACATTGGTGCTTCTTCGCGCCTTTTCCTGCCCCACGCAGCCATCGTGGGTTGTTTTACCTTCCATCCGTAAGCAGAAGTATCAATAACAAGAGATATGCTCCTTTCTTTATCTCCCAGCTCACCTCTTCTTCTCTGTCTCTGTGTTGTTCTCTCTTTCTCAGAGGTAAATAACGGGTCTATAGAGTTGATTACAGGCACACAGTCTCTCCTTTACTGTCTGGATCTCACTAATGAGCAACATTGATCCTGCCACACTTTCCCTCCATCATGCAGTCGATACATGTATGCATGTAGCAGCAGGAAAACACACACAAACCCTGCATGGTCTTGTGAGTTTAATCATCCTCATTTTCACACACACTCACACACTCTCACACTCTCACACACTCTCTCACACTCTCTCACACTCTCTCACACACACAAACACACACACACACACACACACACACACAAACACACACACACACACACACACACACACACACACACACTTCCTCACCATGAACCTGGTTGATCTCCGAGTTCTGTGACAGAATCTCGTCTGCCAGTTTCTGTGCCGTGGGCAGCACCTCTGTGTGGTGGACTGAGATCAGATACTGGACAAACTTCTGCAGCTGGTCTCTGCTCATCTGAAACAACGTCTCTGAGATGGGCAGGTGCAGTTTGACCTGCTCGGGCTTCCGTACTCTGTAAAGCGACAGCGCCACTACATGGGCACAGTAGAAGATGTCTTTGTTGCCGCAGGTGCATGTTACCGCCGTGATCTTGCAGCGGTCGAAGCTGACGCTCACGCTGCACACAAGCTCTGGGGAAGCGGGTGTGGCGGGGTCCGTCACTGTGCCGCTCAGATGAAAACCTGAAAAAGATCGAGAAATAAAATAAGGGGTTATTTTTCTGTAAAGGGGGTAGTTACAATTTCCTCTCAATATGTTGATCAACAGAAACAAACACTTTTTGATAACCAGAAAAAAAAGAATATGTCCGCAAACATTGTTGGTATTTGAGTTTTCCTTTGTCAAATCTGAACTTTTTACAGTGATTCTGCAACAGGAGTTCCAAATTTGTCACTACCTCCAAGTGCATCACTGGTGGTCTGAACAATAGTGCACCTACCTTGCTTTACTCATTTAGACATACATTAATTAAAATAATTTAAGTTATTATGTTGCAACCTGAAAAACTGAGTTAAGACAAGATAGATCAGATAAGGTCAGAGGTTTAACCAATCATTATTAGTTAGCAGTATTAGAGATAAGACCAGGCATCTCTCGTCTGCAGACATAGCCAATAACAACTCTGAATTTTGCCTAAACATTTATCAAATGAGAATCGGATGACTCGAGCAACTCATTGAATGTGCCCTTTAGTAAATGACATTATTGGGTAAATCTCTACAAATGAACACATGCAGGACAGTCTAACAATTATATGAAACAGACTCAGTTGGCAGCAGTCACCTGCCAAAGGCCCCATGCTCTCTTATCATGAGAGCATGATCAGGACCAGCTGCAGGCCGCTGTTATGACTCACAGACTGCTTTCAGACATGCACTGAAGTGCAGACATGCTCCTGAAACTTTCCAGAGGGGCTGTATGTGAGAACACAAATGACCAAGTCAGTTGCTCCTGAACTTTCTGGTGGAAATTCCAGCCCACTTTAAATGCCCCAATATTTTCAGAGTGAGCCCAATGTGAAAACATGGCAGGAAAACAACCGACAAATTCACAGCAAAAGAGTGGCAGTGTTGATGATGTTTTTACCATGCGATAGATACAAAAGTGAAAAAAAACAAAAAAAAAACAGAGGTGCCATACACATGGAAGAAGTCAACAAAGATGTCAACTTCGAAAGACATTTCAGAACTTTTGCAATTAGGGCCAACACCAGTGTCGATGTGCTATCTGAACTTTTTACGCCATGTCCACGCATCTAACCAGATGCTACTCCTCGTCTGAATGTTCCTGACATTTTGCTGTGGTTGTGAACATGTCTGACTCTGACAATCTCCCGCTGCGTCCTTCATATGTGAAAGGCAAACTCAGGAAAATGTCCATACCCAAGGTTTATGTCTGAAAATGGCTTGAGAGAGCGTAAATGAGCCTGACAGAAATCCAGATGCTGGAGCTCAGTTTGGCAACTCACTGCAAGAGGAACTGGGACAGAGATGAGGAACTGTACAGTGAGTGTGGCTGTTGCAGTGCGAACAACGTGGCCCCTTGTTTGAATATAATGTTTGATCTCATCCTGACTGCTATCCGGAGGCGCGGCTGGTCATTATGCGTGGATGAATATGAATGAGTGGGGCGGGTTCCCCAGCAGTGGCCTAAAACACACGGTGATGAGCATATGAAAGAGACAAACGTGTACGCACACACTGAGCCGCAGCGTGAGATCATGCATTTATTAATCATGGGAGTGGTTAGGAGAGATAGAGAGTAGCTTATGAATGCATTTATGGGCTCAGAAGAGAGCTCTGAAAATGCATGTGGACCAGCAAAGACATACATCTCTTAAATACGTTTATCAAAGGGCTGAGCGCACGCATCGCTGTGATATCAAGCATGCATTAACGCAGATATCAAAGTGTGGGCCTCTAGGTAAGACGGGAGGGGCAGGAGTTGAATATTTCATGGGATATAGATGGAAATGGGTTGAGGGGTGCACAAGCAAGTGGAACAGAGTTTGGGTCCAAGTAGCTCTTCTCCCTCCTTGATGGTTATGGGGTGCATTGGGAATGCAGGTGAAGTGGAGTAAAAATAAACGAGGTAACAACCATTGTCTATAGTGTTGGATGTGCCCCCAGGATAAATATTTAAAAATAAAACATGCTGGTTGTAGAGGCCTTATATTCCTCCTCCACAGTCCCTCCAAAGGCAGGCTGTTTTAAATACCAAAAATTAAAAACGGATGTTGGAAACCAACGCAGAAATAGCTTTATTTTTGTTATTCATGCCCTTATGCTCAACATTATCTTGCAGAACCAAAAAGTGTTGGCAGCAAATATCTTACAATGCAGAGCTGCAGAACATCGCCATGGAGATATGCCTTTCCGTGAAAACCAGCTGGCAGAGGAAGTACAAGTTCGTTAACAATATCCACAAAAGAGGGGTATGGATCAAATATGGAAACCACTCACATCAGCAGCGATCACAGCTTATAACTCTAAAGCTGAGTGTGTGTGTGTGTGTGTGAGGGAGAGAGAGAGAGAGAGAGAGACATACTGAGTCACTCTTAAAGGAGACAAAAAGGTTTACATGGTGCAGCTGCTTGTAGAATGGCGAGCTAACATATTTAACTGTGTAAAAGAATACAAATGAGTAATGGCTTTTAATACTGGCTGATACATTTAGTGTGCATGAGTCTTTGCACGTGTGTGTGTGTGACATGATCTTGTGAGAGTGGCCCCTGGTCCAGAGAGCGCAGAGAGAAAAAGAGAACATCAAAAACATGTGGGTCCGAGGGAGCTCAAAGACAAATCAACCTCTGACACACACACACACACACACACACACACACACACACACACACACACACACACACACACACACACACACACACACACACACACACACACAGGCTATTGCAAAATCAGCTGCACTTTCTTTTGCAAATGTTTGTCTTTTTTCACCCCATCGGGAAAAATTTACAGGGATACTTTCATTTTTTTATTCGAACCACATGGAGTATGGGAAAGTAAATAGAGATAAAAGCCTTATCCTGGTTTTAAGAGCTAAAGTCTGTTGTGATTCTGTCCCTTTTCTTCATAGGACACTCTCACTCTATTGCCTTCCAAGCCCTTTTCATCCATCCCTCCCACCATCCACATTCCCACAGCTCTTTCTGTCTCACTCTCTGACAGATGGGTAGGTAATGAGTTTCGCCTTACCCCGTCCAATCGTCTGGGCACCAAAAACTGGCCCCCACGCCAAAAATGCCCTTTTAATTTTGCCAAGCGCTGAGTACAGGGATATTACTGTTTAGGTACACACACAGACACACACTCATGCACACACACGCACCTCCCATGACTCCTGGTTGGGTGGGTATGAAACCTTCAATGTCTCATGTGCTAGCTATTAAAGATCCTGGTCTCCCCCTCACCCAGTCCACCCAGCTCCCCTCCCTGAATGGTGCTCAGGGCTCTTTTCTTTGCATGTTCAAGAGGCCAGGGTTGGCTTTCAAAGTAACCATGGCGGCCATTTTTAGAACAAGGCCTCTGTGAGGTTGCCCTAGAAACCCCTCCTGACCGCTCCTAGTGAAGTCACACTTGGCCCAAAGTGCTGTTTAAAGGCAGCGAGAACAGTGTGTGAAAGAGTGAGCAAGAATGAGCATATGTATATATATGTTCAAATCCCACAAAAGGCCTGCAGACCACCCACACTCTTCGGGAGGGACTCACATCAAAGCATTCCCCCGAAAAGCCCTTGGCTCTATCTTTCACTCTCGTTTTTGAAATTGTATGAGTGCCGATAAGCCAGCTAGGGCCACTTCTGTCTATTCAACAACAAGGGGCCCCAGCAATACTGGACTCCTGCTCTTATTTCAGAGGAGGAAAGTCCCCAACTAAGACCTGCAGCTCCTTCAAAATACATCTGCTGCCATAGCAAGAACGCCGCCTTTATACGCGCCCCATACAACACGATTTAGCTTACCACATGAAAGCAATCTGCGGTGATCAGGGCTGGGCCTGAAAGGATTGCTTGTCGAAGCACAAAATTGCCCACTGTTTCAAAATCACTGGAGTAAATTAGATTGAGCAACATACATACATTTCCACAATCAAATTAAGATTCCAAGTCAATGGAGAAAATTCGGACCGAGCAGTGGGAAGGTCGTTAAGATTATTGGCTGAATTGGTTCATGAGTGACTGTCACCTAAATCTAATACGGCACAGTGCGGTCCGAGCTGCACTCATCCGTCGCATCTGTGTGTGAATTTGTGGTTGTGTGCGGGGTAGATTCTGAATACATGATTGATTTTAGCGCAGAAAGGAATTTGATGAAGCAAATGGGCTGGTGTGAAAATGAATAAACAAACGCAAAGAGGGAGAAATGGCAAGAGCAAATAGATATTTAAGGCCTGTTCACTTTGGCCTTGCACATTAATCAAATTACATCATTAGCTGCAGACAGACAGAGAGCAGCACCTAAATCCAACTCTGTCCTGCTTGAGCCTCTCTGATCCAGAGAGGACCACCTGCAGTAGTTGGCGCTTTAACGCGGGATTCTACCCTGCGCTGACCAAAGATAGCCTGCTAAAACTGGATTGGAATCCAATCCGTTTGGTTGTATTGAACTGAGAGGCCCTGCTGAAAGAGGATCTGAACGAAAAGCTGGGCTCTACATCAGCTCCAGGTAGGGTCAAGAATTACTGGGCAACATCCACCTCTAACACAACCTCCGTCCCACCCACAGCTATATAGAGCCAGTTTCCTCATTGCAGCTTCTCGAACTGGCCCAATTAATACGACTACAAAGACAAATAGAAGGCCTTTCAGCTTACAGGGCAGGACCGCGGGAGTAACAATGAGTGCATGCGTGTGTGGTCCTATAAGGAAGCACTCATACAGAGACTATAAACAGAGATCAATGCTGTTCTGCGGGAGACCTTGCTCTAGGCATGTGTGTGCATGTGTGTGTGTGTGTCCTAGGTGTGGGTCTGGCTGGAATAACACAGCTGAGCTCCGGGGGCAGCCATATTTATGCTTAAACCCTCTGTTGGACCAAAAAGCCCTTCTCTCACCGGGTGTGTTTTCATCACGTGCACACCAACGCACACTCGCACAGTCTGTATGGTTATCCCGACAGACACAAACGTGTACAAATTACTGTTTTGAGATATTCTATGAATTTCAATGCTTTTACGTCCACTTGAGAGGCTGACAGCAAAATCTGCATGCTAATCATAAAGACGGGGAGGACATGTAAATGTGTGTACGTGTTTATATGCATGCGTGCTAAGCGTGCGCATGTCAACGGTTGTGTGGGTGATTGGAGTTGTCATCAGCTGGCGGTTAGAATGACAGTCGACTACTGGGCTGCTGCCACTTAGTTGCCATGCGGTACATGAGGAATGACTTGCAATTTTCTAACTATCACTTTCAAAATGGATTCTAATTTTGCTGGATTGGGCCTGTCAGGCAGAGCCGGTGTTACTGCAGCGCTGACTGATCCCAGAGGTTGGCTTTCAGAGGGCTGACCAGTGCAGACAGACAGTGAAGCCTCTGTTCGGGGACGCGATCCAGACAAGACAAAAAAAGGATAGAGTGATGAGAAAATGAGTTCTGTTGGTAACAGATGGGAGAGCTGGTTACAAGAAATCTGCATCTAACCAATGCTTTATAACACAGACTCATGATCTGGGCCTTTTGTTATAGGAAAAGTTTGACATTTTAGGAAAAGTTTTTTTTTCTTGCTGAGAAGATTGATATTATAGTCATGTTTTAACAGAATATGTTAATCTGCAGCTACGA